CTGATTGGGGCCCACTCCACAAGAAAGAATTCATGCCTAGTACTGTATACTTGGTCAAAAGCCTATGGCTGGGGTGGTCATGGACCCTAGAGGGGAACCTACTATTGTTTTTCTTCTAAATAGTCACACTGTCAAACTGCCTTCTAAATATTCACGTTTATAACAATAGATTGTGTTGCTCTCAATCTGTATCAACGAAGTTTCTTTTTGCAGTAGGTAATGGTTACTTCAGAGACTCATAACTTGTCAAAGTGCTAAGAATAAGACTCTAAACGGGAATAAGCTCTAAATGGGACATCTGTATCAATCACTCTGCCCCCACATCAAGGCTCAGGGAACATTGTGGAAGAGGGGGTGGGAAGAATGTAAGAGTCAGAGGAAGGGGAAGAGTGTTGTGAAATGCTTTCTTCCATCTGCCCATTATACTCATGAACTCACAGAAGGTGGTTACCTGCACAAGATCAAGCCACTTTGAATTCCAGCATGGATGAGGGAATGGTTCATGAGTCCCCATCCTTATCTGGGGAGCTATTGGCAATTGATGGTTGCTAGAAGAGGGAGTCATTTTTCTTTGGGGGTATAGCCACTGGAAGGTAGCTCATGATCAGTGGCCCCACACCCATTCCCTTATGGGAAGTACTAAATGGATTCAGTGTGTTATCAGAGAGAGAGAGAAAGAGAGAAGGAGAGAGAGAGGCTGACAGGGGATGTGTGTGTTCTGGGGGTTCAGAGAGGAGCTGGAGGGGAGGAGTGAGGGTGTACATGTATGTATGTACAAAATACATTGTATATATGTATGAAATCTCAAAGAATAAAAATATTATATACCTATATATAAAATTACACAGACCTTTCCCATCACAAACTGGGGCACAGAGCTTATTTTTGAGTAAAGCTATAGAATCACAAAGTTCTGGGTTTGACCCCTAGCTCCACCTAATACAGGTGTGATGATGCATGCCTGTAATCTCAGCACTTGGGATGGGAAGGCAGGAAGATCAGAAGTTTAAGGTCAGCCTTGGCTACAAAGCAAGTTTGAGACACATGAGATGCTGTCTAAAGAAAAAAAAAAGCATTAACCAATTTGCTCAAGGAAAGCCAAGATATAAACTGGGTTCTGCACTCTTTACCAGATGCTGCCTCTTACAATGTGTGTGTATGCATGTGTGTTTGTGTATGTATTCTCATAAATGTATAGACAGAAGTTTAGAAGGATATCAATGGATTCCTAGTGAGTGGGTATCTCAGGGAAAAGAAAAAAGAAGTGGGGTGGACAAGAATGGAGCATTTCAATTTTAATATAGGTATATATTTCACTTAGAAATAATGAGTATGAATTTAAATAGTTTTGTTGCTTTTTAAATATATAAAACATACAGACTGCAGATATCATTTATGAAAAAAATTTATCTGTTCATCAAAAAGCTTGCCAAGATTGAAAATTAACACAGCACTGTCTCTGACTCAGGGTTGAAGTATTTTTATCTTCATTATTCTATACTGTTTGATCTTTTAATTATAATAATAATAATATTATTATTATTATTTTATGGCACTGGAGATTGAACCTAGGGCCTTATGCACTGCTAGGCAAGAACTCTACCAGGGATCTATCCCAAGTCCCCTTTTTACCTTTTATTTTGAGGTAGGGTCTCACTGAGTTACCTAGGTTGGTTTTGAACCCACTCTGTAGACAGGTAGGTCTTGAACTTGCTTCAGCCTCCAGAGTAGTTAGAATTGCAGGCCTGCACTATCAGGCCTGCCTCATTTCTTGTTTTTTTTTTTTTAAAGTGCAAATGAAATACATACTAATGAGCTTTCCTGTCCCATTTTTTTTTTTATTTTCAAATCATATATTTAAGGGGCTAATATCTAAAATATACAAATAACTCAAATAACTCAGTGGTAAGAAAGCATATATCTTGATTAAAGCCAATAAAAGGATGTAAGTTAATATTTCACAAAAGACATGACCAATAGATGAAAAAAGAAACACCACCAAACATCACTAATCACCAGGGAACTACAAATTAAAAACGAGGCCCCATGTGGTGGTGCATGCCTTTAATCCCAGCACTCAGGAGGCAGAGGCAGGCAGATCTCTGTGAGTTCAAGGCCAGCCTGGTCTACAAAGTGAGTTCCAGGACAGCTGGATCTACAGGGAGACCCTGTCTCAAAAAGACCAAAAAAAAAATTAATAATAATACAATGAGATATCACCTCATGCCTGTTAAAATGGGTATTGTCAAATCAGCAAATGTTAACCAAGGTGTAGAGAGGGGAAGTTTTTTTTTTTTA